AAGAAGGAGCAGAAGCTTGATAGAATGAATCGTGTGTAGCAACACAGCAGTAGGTGGTTTGGTGAAATTCCACCAAACCTGGCAGGGATTTCTGCATTTCCTGCAACTCTTGAAGTATGTTAAAGCATCGCATCCCATAAAATGTGAGTTTTACAAAATATATTGAGCCAAGAAGACTAAATCTGGCATTTAGTGAAGAAATGTTTTAAATTTGGAATTTATTTATAATGGCTGAAGCACTTCATAATGAACTATTTCCAGAAAGATCGTCTAATTTCAGCACAAGGTCTCCAAAGCTGAATGAGAGCGGTTGTATATGTCTGAAAAACACACCTAATTATTTTGCTGTTTGCTTTGTTTATTTAAAAATATTAAACAACAGTGTATACCAGAATAACAGTGTGGTGTACGTATATGGTCAATGGGAAGTTAATGACATTGACTTTACCAACTCCACCAAAGTGAACAATGCAATAATGCAGCCAAAACAATGACTCAGATGAAAAATGGATGAGCTGCCTCCCAGAATGCAGTAAATGGAGCACTGGTTCGCACTGAGTGATAGTGCATAACTCTCCCAATTAAATAGCAGTGCCAACAGAACTGTGTTCTTACGGACATGTTAATCCTGAATATGTAAGGATTCTATGAAATCACAGGTGGTGACAACAAGAAGCATAATCGAAGCCTGACTTCAGGTTGCTTTGCTCTGCTCACTTCATATCAATAATTTAGCTGCCATTTCTGATCAATAACAAGCTTCCTGTGTGCAGACATGGAAAAGCTGGATGCCAGTCATAAGAGTTCATCACTAAATCCTACTGTACCACCGTGCAGTAGTAAGAAAACAGTGAAAGGACATGTTATTTTCATTGTAACCATTTTTAAACAACAAGTAAACAGCTAATTTAAGTATAATTAAATTCTACATAAATTAATATAAAATGTCATACGTTTTGCAGGAGTAAATCTACCCTGCTCATTGCAGTTAATAAAAAACATACTTTGTGATGGAGAGTTTTCAGATTGTGTCCATAGGCAGATATCAGTCAGCTCATCAGAAAATGAAGCTGACTGTCCCGTTAAAGGTGTGCACAAGGGCCAAATAACCTGTCCTGAAAATGTAGCTACTGAATACTGCATGACATGAAGTTGGCAGTCAACTGAGAAATATGGCAAAAAAAAACA